TGTGCCGTGAATGACTTTTAAAGTTTGAAAAATAACAATTTACCCTGGAATTTAGCTGCCAGTATAAAACACGCGTACTAGACTATAACGGTGATGTTATGATTTTGTTGTACTTGAATTTTACAATAATTCTCACTAAAATTTCTTGAAAATCATTGTAAGCCTGTTCATATAAGGCAAGCCTGTTCATATAAGGCATACAAAGCACATACATCGACGGTCTGCTTCACGTCAGTCCGGTTCTGTCTATCTATTCATAATGTAACCAGTCACTGAAAAGCCCTGAAAGGGAGTGTGCTGTGAAATATCTGTATCTGTATCTGTAAGGAACAGCAAAACTCAAAGTTTGAATTTCGTGACCGAATGACATGACATAAAACTGACATGTCAACTCTAGCATTTTCGTCATGGTCGCTACCTCCTCCGCATGCCCTTTTCCGGGCAAATTTGCGGGCGGTGCAAATTTGCGGGCCATATTCTCCCTATAGCGCCTGCGGAGGAGGTAGTCCTGGTCGCGTAATTTTGAAAACGGGTGTAATCATTTGCTACTTATATTTATTTGATAGTGTCATCCCCGAACCGACGGCGCGAAGCGCCGTGCGAGGGTACTAATTCCCCCCGGCTATTTACACCCGGGGAAAGGAACGCACTAGCGAAGTCTAAAGTTCATCAAATATCGTGGGCGCATGGCTCACCGTTCATGGTTCAGGGGGGGGGGTCATCCACACTGATCTCAAAATATGTAGCGGACTGTCGTGAATAGTGAACACTGACTGGTCAAATTTGAAATTTGCATTGTAACGCCTGCATTGACGACAGCAAAATAACAAACATTTCTTGCAAGTTGTATTTTTACAAGATTTTGTAAATTTCAAAACCTTTCTGAGAGCCAAAAAACATCTAAAAACGTCTAAAAGAATAAAGCAAAGTCGCCGACGTTAATGAAGGTAAGTTTGTTTAAAATATTGATGTAATGTTTGTTTTATAATCGATATATTTATAACTGATAGTGGTGGGCGATACTGCGAATATCGAAGCTGATACCAGTGTGACCAGATTTGGTAATTTAAATTACTTTTGGTAATATTTCGCGATTTTTCTGACTTTTTTGGTAATTGAAAATTTTTGGTAATTTTTTAGTAATTTCTCTTAAAGTTAGTAATATTTTGGTTATCTCATGAAATTCAACCAAATACACCATAATGACACAACCTGTTATTAAAAAATTCAATGAGAACAGTTGCAGGTCCACTCCTGCAAAGCTGTACATCCGAATTGCAAGCTTCTGGCCCAAGCTGTCCAGCTGAATCGAGGGAATCCTGCTGATCACCACTCACCCTGTGCTGATTGCAGGCTAGGGACCCGGGGCCCGGGGCCAATCATTGCTGCGTCATATTTGCATTTTGCACAATTGCAACGAAAAAGTACAAGTGAGAAAGAAAAACATGAAAAAAAATAGTTTCAGTGATGGAAAGCGTTTTACTGATTTTGTCTTGCTGAGATATTTTATTGATTTGTTTGCCGATAATTCGATAAAAGGCCGTTTAGTTCTAAGAAGATTTTAAAACGTTTTGCGAAGCGTTTGTGGTTGAATTTTACATCAAATTGAAGCTTATATTACGTATAATAACATACCTAGCATATATATGATTGGGAAATTGATAATTTTGTTATTAAAAGTGATATTATGGGGGGATTTTTCAATTTTAAAACTATTCTTAAAATTATCGTGTTACCATGACAACTACTTTCAATTCTTCATATTCAGAAAACATACATATTGTTTTGTCAGTAAGGCGAGGGTTTCTGCATGCATGTATTTTCTAGTATAGTGATAATGAGTTTACACACAGGCAATCCTGGATATGATATAGACGATGCAAGCTGTCCATTAAAAAATAACGGTATTCTATTTCACAAAGCAAAAATTTAAATCTCACTTGTATTATTAAGAATGTATATAAGGGACCATTCATTATTTATGACTGGGGATGGGCTGGCAAAAAAAGGGGGTGGTCATGAGGTATTTTCGACCGAAAAAGGGGGGAGCACCTAAATATATTGGTTCAGAAGGGGGGGGGGGTTCAGTTATTTATTATTGTGGTTAATTAACAAGTAAGCGATGTAGCAACATTATGTCCAGGGAAAGTTTGGCATGTACTATATACACTAGTTTATACTAGGTATTTAATACATGGTTTAATTTAGTATTAAGGAGTTTGTCGGTTTACCATGTCAAGTCCGAGTCAAATCCGAGCCCGAGTCAAATGTCTGGAGTCAAATGTCCAAGTAACTAGCTGTTTAGCGGTCTTTGTAGTTCATTGACGTAGTACCCTAACCCTTCTCCTAACCCAGGGTCGTAGCGACCGGGGGCGCTGGGGGGCTGCAGCCCCCCCCAATAATTTGCTAATAATCATTATTTTTCCAAAATCATGCAGACCTTTATCATGTAAATAATATACCTTTAAAACACTGACAATTGGTTAATTTTAAGCGGCTACATTATCCCCATGACAAACCGCAAAGAACGACGATATTTCTCATACTTTCCTGCAACTTATCCAATATATACGCCTATACCCCTCCGCCCATTTAGTGCTACTAAATTGTAAATTTCGACATACTAAAATGCTGTTTTCTTACCATCAGAATTCTGTCCAATATTCCCCAAAGTCTAGGAAATGGCATTTCAGTAACACTAAATTTAAAAACTTCCTCGGGCCTTTGGCCCTCGCTTTCAGCTCCCCAATCAAAAAGAGCTTCCTACGGCACTGTAACCCTAACCCTACTTCTAACCCTATGCTCCTAACAGATTTTACTTGTCAACGGGGAAGCTCTGCTAGGCATGTCCCGATTGGGCTCGGCAACTTTTGAGCAACTTTTTGCGTTTGGAGCAACTTTTTTCGGCTCGCGAAACTTGAAGCAACTTTTTCCTTTTAGAGCAACTTTTTACTACACACTTAGCAGCGAAAAATGGTATGACCCCCAGCTTTAACCTCTTCGGCGCTCTGCATGCGCTTAATGGGTTAACCAAAAAATCTGACAATGTCTCTAGTTAACCCATTGCACCCCAGTACTTATTTTTGTACTTGTTTAACGCCAGATGATTTTACTCGTCAACAGGAAACTCTGCAGCTTAATGGATTAAATAGGCATGCATATTAATTGTTGAAAGCACAAGTAAATGAAAGATCTGATGCCTTTTACAACAAGTTTAAAGAGCTCATTTCTATACAGTACTGTACATTTATTACATTTATTATATTTAGAATTCATGTGAAGGGGGTCATTGCATTTTTTTTGTGATGCAGGGGGTGGGGCAGAGTAGTATAGGAACTAGCGTTTCTAGACCACTAGTTTTTTCTAAACCACCAGTTGTTTTTTTCTAGACCACTAGTTTTTTACCTTTAGTAAAAATTATTTATTTTTATTATATTAAAATTAATGGTTGGTCCATTTAATTGAAATGTGAAACTGCTATTCTTGTTTTTCATTTAACTTATCTCAAAGCTTCGGGATCACCTTACCAGTCCGGCTGAGACTCTAATACGTTTATCCTACACTTTTCCAATATCGTCCAACCTTCCTATTCTAGAGCCTCTTTGACAACTTTTAAAATACCCCTGAGGTAACACACACCCTTCTATAAAAACTTACCAATCAACTCTAGAACAACTACCTTCCGTAGCTCCTTATTCTATCCTGTAGAGTTTTTATGTAAACTTGCGTTATCAATGGTACTATGTCCTCATTATTTCTAGACCATAGTAGATCCGTTAGCGTCCTCCGTAAAGGATGTAGTTTTTTGCACTTTTTCCTTAACCTTTCCATTATCAAACTATTTGCTTCCTCTTGGGTAAATTCTCCTGGTAGTCTTCCAACTCTTACCAGTTCATTTACGGGTTTAACTTTTCTTTCAACCTTTACTTTAATTGTTAAGTAGTGTCCGTAAGCATAACTGGTAATCCCATCCTCCAGTAGATATCTTTTATCATCAAAGCAACTTAGAGTAACCTTCCTCATTTTATAAGTTCCGACTGTATGCTTCATGCTCCTGATTGTATTCATATTATGTCTCGTCCTACCTTTCGTATTAATTACATTCTTAAAGTTCTCATGAGTGAGCTTGTTTCTGATAACATACTTTTTAACTCCCTTAGCAGTCATTCCACCTCCACCGTTTTCCTTAACATAGGAGTACATCTTTGCCCTTAGCCCAACGAACTCAATTATGGGTACTCCTTCAGCTTCGTCCTTAAACTTACCTATAACCTTCTTGTTGTGGTCTGAGTAGTACGGAGAATCTTTTGGGTAATCTGAATTATCCCAACAGTCTTGCTCTTCACCAATCCTCCTAAAGTCCTCATAAACATCATTCGTCTTCAGTTCGTACATCAGACTGTCAGTATCAGTGAACAGTAGCCTTGACCTGTTACCGTACTCCTTCTTGATGGTGTTGTAGTGGAAATCGTACATTAAAGTCTTGGATAAGTCTAATATGCTCATTCCTACGTAACACGGTTTATTTAGCGTTAGAACTTCTTTCATCCTCTTTACCACTATGAGATTCTCATTCATGATTCGATGTGACTGGAAGCACGGTGATGCTGTCAGTTTTAGGAGGTCGTCTTCGGAGGACACTAATTTCACATCAACCCTTTTCCTAAGATTCTCCATAGTCTTTCAGTAGATTGAGTTGTTCATCAACTTGAAGAAGTTCTTTTCGAACGTATTACGGGCTGCAGACCTTTTCTTTGTATTGAAGTCTATATAGTCCTTAAGCCAGGGAGACTGCTTGAACGTAACCGCTCTATGGACCTTCATGAGTTTCATCCCAAGGTCTGTGTACAGTTTCAGATTGCGTGCATGTAGGACGTAATTTTTCCTGGGACCTAGTGAAGTCACAAGTTTTCTTACTCCTCCAATTTTCAGTTGGAATTTCTCAACAATACTCTTCGCATAATCTGACAACATAGAAGCACTGATTTCCTTACTCTCCGGTGCTAGAAGATAACCGTTATGTAAGTTGTGAAGTTCTTGTGGATATTCCAGGTCAACCTCCTGAACCATCCCTCTTCCGTTGTCTCCCAAGTAATCCTCTAGATTCATACCATCAACTTCCTCAACCCACTCAAACTCTCCGTTAGGTAGTGGTTGTGACATTGCCCAGCCATATAAATTATTGGCATCGAGGTACATTAGGTACTTGTTCTCAGACGACTCATCGTACGTCTCCATGTACTTATTATTAGCTTCGGAGTGTCTATGAGCAATATAACTTGTACCACATCTCATACCCTTCTCGAAGAACTGGAACATATCCATATCGCTTACGAGTTCTATTTCTTCACCTGACTTTTTCAGGAAAGCGTCCCAACTTAGACTAGGTGCTGACACGTAATGTGCGGGGTCAAGTTCGTAACTTTCCAGACATGTTCTCCTGAAGTTCTCAAACACATCAGCCAGCAGAAGAACGTCAGTCTCCAAGTAGAGGTCGTGGTAGTCTCTCATGGTTTTCATCTTGAAGTGATCCCATACTTTCTGAGCTCTCTGGTAATCTTCTTCCTTCACCTCTGACTCATACAGTGATGAGTAGAACTTATCCTTACTCGGAAGACCTTCTGTATTGAGTTTGCTAATGTCATCGAGGAACTCATATGGAAACACTCCTTTTTGTGTTACTAGATTGAA